ATCCCAGTCACTGAATCAATCCACCTCATAGAGGGCCTTCCCCTCCTGCGCTGTCCCTCCACCCTCCCAAGCATGATGTCCCTCTCCAAGGACCGGCCCTCCTTACAACATGTCCAAAGTATGTTAGACGGAGCTTCAGAATCCTTGCCTCCAGTAAGCTGCCTGGTTTAACCCTTTCCAGGATGAATCTGTTTGTTTTCCTAGCAGTCCATGGTATCCTCGCACCAGAGCTCAAAGGCATCACTTCTCCTTCTGTTCTCCTCAGTCACTGTCCAACTCTCTGATAGCAAAGTGATAGCAAAGACCATGGCCTGTATCACATGCACCTTAGTCTCCAGAGAGACACCATTGCTCTTCAGTACTTTGGAAAGTTGCCTAACAGCAGACTTTTCCATGGCAATACGTCTTTTAATTTCCTGGCTACTGGTGCCTAGAGTGCTGACATTGGAGCCAAGCAAACTAAAGCTGTGAACAATCTCAATCTCTTCACCATCCATCCTGATGCTGCCATTTTTAAATGTTATTAGATTTATGTTTTTGTTATTCTGTTAGTCCTTAGTGGCTTATTTTGAAGAGTATTTTTTAGAGTATTTTTTATTCTTGGGTTATCTGCTAAGCTGTTCCTTTGATCATTTCCTGGTGTTAGCTCATTTATCTCTTTCCTGCCTAACCATGTCTCCCACAGAGCCATGCTCCATTTTAAGAGGAATGGGGTGGATGGGGCCAAAGAGAGAAGTATGCATGTCCTGGGAGCCAAGTGGGTGATGAGAGCTGGAAAAAAGAGTGCCATTATTCTGAAAGTAAATCTCACATGCTCCTTCAGTTTTCAGTAGTAGTGTCTATTATCATAGATAGGGGAAAGTTTCCACAAAAATTTGCTGTGTCTCCTTGAATCTGAATTTGGCTATTTGTGTTGCTTTCCAAGTGAGTGAGTACAGAGGCCTGAAAACACTTTCAGATAAAGCTCTGCCCCCTGCAACTGCCGTCTTCCTGTGAAGCCACCCACCCTAGACTCCAGAAAATGAAAGACCATGGAGAAGATGGGTCTAGAGTGAAGCCATTCTGGTGGTCCCAGACAGTTTCCCAGTCCTTCCACGGAATCAAGAGAGAAAACGGTTGCATTTTAAGCTACAGAGCTTTAAGCAGCAGTAGCTCACTTGATAATATTCTTTGTAATAGAGTAAATCACCATGCCTTCAACTATGGCCTGACAGCCTGGTGAAGAAACTTGTTCACTTTCCTCCAGAGAATACACCTGTTGCTTGGGTAGTAGGGAAGAAGGATGAGGAAGAACAGCAATTTCTTAAAGAGCCTCACAATAAGTTGTTTTCTCTCCTTTCATCACTTCACTAGAGGCTCGTGAAGCCACTGGTCCCTGAATCTCCTGGGCTGCTTTTGGTTGCTGCTTTGCTTCCTTCACCACTGGTTTAGGATTTTCTTGCTCAGTTCTGCCAATCACCTGTTGTCCATCAGCGTCGAGTTTTTTAAAAAAATTTTGTGGCTGTTTTCTCTAGTTCTCTATAAGGTTTATGTCTTTAAGAAAAAAAAATAGGTGAGTTTTGGTAGAGAGCTGAGCTAAATACAGATGTGTAAATTGTTATCTTTCCTAACACACTTCTGTTTTGTGGTAGCATTAATTGGTAACAGCAGACCCAGATAAGAAAAATGGCCAGTTTTAATTAATTAGATGAAGGAGTTACTTTTAAAATACAGTTATTCAGTTATTATTTTTCAATTACCTTGCACAGACTTGTGTTAGGTGAGACTCAGCCTTTTAAAATGAAAGAAATAAAAATATTTCTTACCCTACTTTTAAAAAAATGTTGTTTTTGTGAATATGCAC